TTTTTTTTTTTTTTTTTTTTTTCCTACATCCAACCCTCACTATTGCACCAGCAATCTGTTCAGGAGTCCAAGAGTTAAAGTTGCAGCACAGACTCTCCTTGCCTACTCCCTTAAGCCTCTCAATCTTCCATTAAATCCATTTCTCCATTCAGACTGGATGAGCTGTTTCCCCCCCCCCCCCATTCCCCAAGCCGGCAGCTGCTGAATTTTCCACCCCAGGCCGAGAGGCAAAGCCCAAAAGCATTCTTGGAGGGTCACTTGGCAGAGTCCTCTCCCCGCCAGCGCCGCGGGATGCAGCCGGCACCGCGCTTCTTCCTCGGCCAAGCCAAAACGTGAGCCAATTCCCAACGCCATCGGGGGGAACAACCAACGCGCCCGCGGCCCATCCGAAGGGATCCAGTCGAAAAGGGTTTAAGTGTGCAAAGAGCTGTACATTGGTGGGTGGGTGTGGACACGATAGAAGCTCAGGGTGCATCTGTCCTGCTAAGAGATCTTGCAGTTGTTGCGCGAGCAGTTCTGTGGGGGGCTCTGGGGCGGGCGGATGGATTTGGATCTCTTCAGGCTGTTCCCTTTGCTGCTGCTCCCGCCCCCGCTGCTGGCCAAGGAGTACGACCGGCCGTGCATCATCACCGCGTTCATCCCGTTGGCCATGGAGAAGGATTTCAGGTGGCTCTTGATGGTGACGGGCAGCGGCAGCTTGTCGATGAGGTGGACGGGGGTGCAGGAAACGATGGCTCGGCAGCACAGGTCCTGCAGGCTGAACACTGAGGGGAGAAAACACCAGACTGGTCAAGGGTCAAGCCATTTTTCTCCCTCCAGCTGTCCCTTATAGAATCATAGAATCATTGAGGTTGGAAGAGACCCTTGGGATCATCGAGTCCAACCATCTACCCTACTCTACAAAGTCATCCCCTACACCATGTCCCTCAGTACTGCATCTAAACGGCCCTTAAACACAGCCAGGGACGGTGACTCAACCACCTCCCTGGGCAGCCTATTCCAATTATGCTGTGCAGTTCCTGCTCCTTTGGGGAGAGAAGGTAGGAACGATGGCACAGGAGCCCTGAACAGGGAGATTAGCTGGGATAAAAGCTTGGGAAACTCCAGGTAAGCTCTGCCTGAGAGGCTGCTGCTGTGCCAGACACCAGCTTTGGTGACAACACCGGGCTTAGACACTACCACCCCTCCTCTGCACAGCGCCCGGGGCTGGCAGTGCCTTGCTCACGGTCCTGCCAGACACTTGGCTTCTCAGGACATTGTTTGGCGACCAGGATGTACCCAGGGAAGGAGGCAACAGGGTCAGCAAGGCCTGGAGTTTCACTTGGGACCAGCTCTCTGCAGAGTGGCTGCGGCAACAGCAATCCCACCGAGGCAGAAGAAGACTCGGCTCTTCCAGGCCTCCCAGCGTCCATCCCGTGCGCTGGCTCTGGGAAGCCTCCTTCCCGAGGGGAGAGGATTTCCCGGCAAACAGCCACACGAGGGCGCGCTTCCCCTCCAGCCTGCCGGGAACCCACGCTGCTGCTCCCGAGCGGGCACCCCCTCTTTCCACGCAGGCAGCTCCCCCCTTTCCACGCAGGCAGCCCCCCTGTTTCCCTGCAGGCAGCCCCCATCCTCTAGTCCCGAGCAGCAGCACCCCCCCGCTGTTAGAGAATCATAGATCATAGAATTTCCCAGGCCGGAAGGGACCTCCAAAGGCCATCTAGTCCCACCCCCCCGCAGTCAGCAGGGACACCCCCAACTAGACCAGGGTGCCCAGGGCCTCGTCGAGCCTCTCCTTGAATATCTCCAGGGATGGGGCCTCAACCACCTCCCTGGGCAACCTGTTCCAGTGCTCCACCACCCTCACAGTGAAGAACCCTCTCCTCATCTCCAGTCTAAATCTGTTCCCCTCCAGCTTGAAGCCATTGCCCCTCGTCCTGTCACTGCAGCCCTTTCTAAACAGGCTCTCCCCAG